ATTCTCTTCTAATCAAGAGAAGAAAAATAGAATAAAATAAACAGAATTAATTTTGTTGTTCATAAGAAAGAACAAGGAGCAGCATATTCAAGCTTAAAAGAATAATGTTTTAAGTAAGTTTTTTAGCTTCAACCATATGATGCTGGGTCTTTTATTTATAACTTAACTGTGTGCTAATGATGATTGTTTTGTGTGTTTTCCACCATGCGTGTTTGTGTCAGTCTTGTCTTTTTTTTATTCTATATTTTTTCTTTGCTTTCACGATGCTGCTGCATTCACTTTTCAATCTTCTTGCGTGCAAAACATGAATGCACACCCCGATCCTTCCTTGACTGGGCTTCGTGCTTGCCAGTGAATCCCTGCTGCAGTCTGCATCTCAGGGTGAGACATGGCGAAATTTACCTGTGGACACAAAAAGAGAAAAGCAAATGAGGTCCATATTTGAATAAGTTATGTGATTTAATGATGTTTACCTTCACCTAACTTTCAAATGCCCTAGGTATGAAATTCCAGGCAGTTACCATTGCTGAATTACAACATTGCTGAATTTCTCATTAATTATGCAAATTAAATCTTAATTTACATAATATCTGCCTGTGTTTCTCTCGTTCGCAATTACATATGCCACATGCTTTAATAGTCCTATCATGTAATTTAACTGAATCATGGCACGGGGGCCTGGCACCCAGGCTACATTGTTTTCCCAGCAATCATTAATCATAGAAAGCATGGTACTTTTCAAAACTCACACAGCTTATCGTGAAAGAAGTACTATAGAGATGCGAACATTGCCTAACTATCGTGATTATTTACAATATTGCGTATAATAAGGATGGTTAGGCACTTACCTGGTATTTTGTTCCACTTCTTCTGTCTTGTATTCTTGAGTAACTTTTGTGTTTGTCGTCATGTAGAGCTGAAAGAAACAGTCGTCATGTAGAGCTGAAAGAAACAGTGTAGAACAAGTTAACGAAGTTTGTTATATTCTAGGGTTGCGTTATTCTGCATAGTTCGACAGCGTTCAGCGTGACCGCGGAGGAGAACATGCGTACAGAGCAGCAAAGTGTAGGTGCATCAATCATCAAGGGTTAGAGTTAGGATGTACCGGATTGTCAATAAACAAAAAATACATCCACGTCGGGTGTGTCAATAAGAAAATAATTTTTTATATCCACACCAAGTGAATCGATAAAGAGAAAAAATTCCTATCCACACCGGGTGTGTCAATAAGGAAAGAGAAATATTTTATATCCACAACGGGTGTGTCAATAGCCACGTACTTTCTTAATATCGTACGATGATGTAACCAACAGACCCGTATGGTTTACCGCTTACTGGCCATCGAAT